TCTAGAAATAAGTTACTTTTTACTATAAAGTTAAAGTATTTATAAACTATAATTTAACTATATTTCTTAACTACTTAGCTACTATATACTTTAATCTTTACTAATAAGAAATAGCTCTTACTAAATTAAACTAAATATAGTAATACTTAAATAAAATATTTATAGACTTTTTTATTTAGTTTAAGAATAAAATAGTACTAGTAGAAAGTATAAACTAAATTAATATAATTAAGTTAGTAAAGCTCTATTAAGCCTTAAGTAAAGAGATATATAAAGTAATTCTTAGCTAAAATATTTTTTATACTATATACTAACTAGTAATTAAGAAGCTATAATACTTTACTATAAACTTTAAGTTATACTACTTAGAGAAGAAACTTTATAATTAATATAGTAGAAACTAAATCTTCTTAGTAAGTACTTAGCTTTAAAATAAAAATATACTAATAATAAGTATTAATAAAGTTAATATAAACTAAGAGTAAAAAAGTAAAGAAGTTTATACTTAATAAAGTATACTTTAGAATTTTATAAAAAGCTAAAGGCAAAGAGCTTAATAAGTAATAAAGGCTATTTTAGCTAAAAGATAAAAAGTAGAATAATATTTATATTATAGCTTAAGTAAATATTATATCTAAAAGTATACTTTTTATATACTAAAATAGCTCTAACTAGCTGCTATAAAATAAGTTATAATAATAAAAAACTTATTAAAAAATAGTACTACTAAAGCTAAGTTAGAAAATAATAAGCTTTTATAATAAAACTTTTATTAAGAGTATAATACTGTATAATAACTAATATACTTACTATATAAATAAACTAAATATAAAGGTTAAATAAAACTAATTTAGAAATAAATATAATGCTTTTTTTTATCTTTATTTTAATTAATAAACTTAAGTTTATTAATACTTAAGTAGATATAAACTATAATTATTATATAGTTATAAGCAAAAAGTATACATAGTAGTATAAACTATAGTAAATACTACTAGAGAAAGTATACTAAATTTATACTATAGTTAAAAC